ATGCCATTGTGCGCACCGCGGATGCAGATGTAAAAAATTGATCTCTGCACGGACCAGTCCATGGATATCCGCTTCGAGTCCGCATTGAGTCCGCCTCGAGTCCGCGTGGTCCTCCACGGACCGAAGTACGCCCGAGTATGTGGGAGCCGTTACTTTTAAATTTTGGCATGAAAGACAGCGGATGATTCCTTCAACAAATTGGTTTTCATTGTTTTTTCTTCAAACATTTACACAGCAACAACAAAATTTGTTTTTATTTAGCTAATATTAATTGTTTTACCTTGCAACAAAGCTATTATTGTCTTAAAGTAAAAAAATAATAAAGTTGTTTCAAAGATTAGGCTTATTATTTTTTTACACACAAAAACCTCACAACTGTTGTTTGCACAAAGGGTTTCCCTAAATTTGATCATATTTTATTCAAGCACAACAAAATCTATAAGGTACGAGAAAGGGACATATTTTACAGGTTTGTTCTCTCTAGAAATGATACACCGGTCTCTGCGACGAGTTGTCACCTGCTCAGATGCATTTTTCACTGTAGTGAGAACTGAAATGGAAATAGGATGAGTTAGAGGAGGCAATACTTGGGCACTCACAAGGCCTCCCTGAAGGGGTTTAAAGTTTTGCAAGATTTTAGACAGCAGATGATTGTATGTCCCTGCCTCCTGCAGCCCCCTGTGTGACTATCCTGTTCAGCTGAAAACGCTGTGTTGAAAGCAAGCAGCAGAGCACAGGGGCCCGCAAAAAGACACGCCTGTGTGTGTCCTCTTATTAACTAGTAGAGCTGCCCTCAGTCGGACTTAATGGATCCCACTTATGTTGTCATCACCATGCCAACCAGCTGTCAGCTTTGGTGCAATGAAGCTTTCACGCTTCRGACAGATGCATCTGTGTCGTGTTTGTATGTCCCAGCCTTCAACAAGTCGCCACCACAAAGGACCGACTGGAGTAAATGCTTCTCTTCTTCTCTGAGATTGTCTGATTGAGGGGAGAGAGAGAGAGAGAAAAAAAAACAGCTACTGGCACCTTATTATAAAGCTTGAATAATTTACGATAAGGGGACACCTGAGTCCAGGTCAAATAAAGGTCTATTTACTGAGGCGATACAGACTGCATATTAAATCTGTGCCAGCTGCCAACTGGTTGACTTCTGGGGATTAGGCCAGTAAAAAGAAACATGCAACGTCAGCGACCTTCTGCAGAGTTGGCCCCGCCAGCTGTAGACGTTTATTATCTAAGAGACAAAGACTGGTAACTGTCAATCATCAAAGGTGAATTGTTGCACTTCAGCGAAATCACAAACACTGCAGCACCAATAAAAGCTGGAGTCAAACTCTGGATAATCTGCTTTGTTGTGGATTTTTCTATGATTTTCACATGCCAGTTCATGGTGAAAATAGGTCACCTCATGTCATGTCAGTTGATGATGGGAGTGTTGCAATGCAACAACAGAGATTAAAATACGCAATATCTGAGATTGTCATGTCGTTGGATCAGGGTTTATTTAATGTCAGCATGGCTTTGTGATTATCAGTCACTCATCTGGACACCAGAAGCAGAAAAGGATATAATGCACTGTGGTGATTTAATCCAGAGCAGCATGTAACTCTTGTAAATCCAAAGGATCTACGCCTTTAAAAATATAAAGAAAAAGCACCAAGGATGGAATGACTTCGGATCACATAAATCTATTATTGGGATGAAGATGTGAAAGTAAAACACAGTCACTGACAGAGGAAGACAAGCATTCAAACAGTGTGGCCTGATTTGGTTGTAGTTTGCACACAGAGCAGTGATGGGTATATAAATGATTCAGTTTGCAAGAAGCTGGGACATCTAAAAAGAGCACAAGAGTGCAAATTGTGGTGCCATTACGAACGGAACAATGGTGTTATCAGGGAGTTGCCAGAATACCTCCCAGTCCCAGTTTGCCTGACAGATGTATTATACCAAACAGAGTTCAACAGGAGTCACTTTGTGGGGTTGGTGGTCGTATTTGGGAAAATGATGAACATGAGGGGCATGCATATATTACAAGCTAGGATTACATGCACAAAATCTTTGATCGGATTGAGATGTATTCAGATTAAATAATCTGAATGTATAGTTTATATGGGCACAAAATTAACTAATGCGATCATGAAAAGGGGAACTCTGAATAACCACAGAACTGATGAAAAGAACAATTATTCTTGCTTCATTATACATCATTTGATTTTAAATGTGTGATGATGTCTCATTTTACTTCTTCTTTGTCCCAGCAGTTTAAGATGGAAAAGACTCTTTAATCTTAACTTTAATCTGTACATGGAGTTTTTGCTGATAAAATCATCCAGCAAAGTATTTACATATTTGATCAATTGTATTGAAGTCCTATTAACTTTTGAGTGGATGAGAGGATTAGAAAGTTAGATTTTAAAGTTCATACTTTTGTTTTCTTTAATACAGAGCCCGTCCGGTGACATGGAATAATTTTTTTTTTCACGGGGCCACGAGATAATAACGCATACCCACGCAATGAGTCTTTAATAAAATTTTAATTGAATTAAACATGATTTATGTGAAATCATATTTGTTGGTGAGGTGTTTACTTAGTAAATATGTGTAAAAAACATATGCGGAACTTATATTTATACGTCCCGTGCTCCATGCCGACCACTATTTGGTGCTGCTCCTGCTGCTCAAGTCTGCACTGGATGCTRACTYGCTGTGGAGGGCTTAATAAGCCACTTGCCCTCATATCTAATTGGTTTCAGATGGGACATAATATGGCCAACCCTCCGTGGGAACTCGCAAACTGAGTGAGTAGGGAGCAGGGCGAGTGTGTAGCCACTGATTGGGAAAGGGCCTACATCTCAAAATGTATGTTAAATATTTTACTTGCAAACTGATGGCATCCCACCACCAGGTGGGGGTGCACAGTGTTCAAAAGTAGCTGGTAGCAAGTGAAATTTGCTGTGAAAAATCTCCTTTTCACTGCATTTTTGAAAGCTACTTTTTCTGTGGTCCATTTGCACTTAGAAGTGGGAATTCCCCATTTAGAAGTGGTAAATATAAACTGGAATGCCAATCCAGTGTGAACTCTCAGTTGGAATGYAGGAGAGTTCAGAATTCAGAATTCAAGATGGTAGCTACTCATCACAACTCAACGGTGAGTATACCCCTGTATTTCTGTAGTATTTATTTCACATTTAGCCAACAGTAGTCAGTTATTGTTTGTTAGTGGTGGACATTCGTAGCGATGAGATGAGGAACGTGATGTTTCATGTTTAGTCTAAGTTTAACATGTCGTGTTTGAGGGCAACCATAAAGCTTGTGTGGCTCTTGGTGAAAATGAGTCTGACACMCCCATCTWATGTCTTAATGAATGAGTGACATTGAGACATTTTTTTGTATTGACCACTAGTTYAGAGTTACACAGCTCTACATGGACTACCTGTGTCACGTTGAGGTCATCACATGGCTAAAATATTTCTCTGCTGTTTGATCAGAAGTTCCAAACTGAGCCTGAAATCAACTCAGACTTTGGGCTGATCTGTCCAAATCTCAAGGGTCAATCACAACAGCTGAGGACCAACTTTCTGCAGGAGAAAACACAACTAAAYGACTCTGTTCTGCACTAAACTGCTGTACAGAACATAAAAGCACATCATTACAGAAATAAATGAAACCGTCATTCTTTTTTGACATCACAGTAAATCAGTCATGTGACCTTTGAACAAGTTGTTTTGGTACAAACCAGCAAGTGTAGCTCAGCTCCACTGACCGCCCTTCAGATGTTTGTAAAAAAAAAAAAACACCTATGCACACAGCAAAACCAAGTTATAGCATTTTTAGCTGGTTTAAAAATGGATCACATTCATTACAAGAGTCTGGATGCATTTCTTTACAAGGAGTGGTAATAAAGTAAATGTCAAGGGAAGACGAAGGGAAGAGAGTTCATCTCTCTTAGAGCTGCATTCCTCTCAGTCTCATCTCACTGTTTGACCTTCCTGTGTGTGTGTGTGTTTGTGTGTTGGGGTGTGTGTGTGTGTGTGTGTGTGTGTGTGTGTGTGTGTGTGTGTGTGTGTGTGTGTGGATGAACATCTACAACTGATTAATTTGTTGAGTCAATTTAATTCAAGATGGCCACAACAAAAAACTTGTCAGGCTCAGTTCTGGCCCGCACA